CCCTGGTCATAATATCCGATCCATTTCTTTCGGCCCACGTAGGCCCATTTAATCGAGCTCATTATTTTAACTATTCGGTCCAAGAAATTATTTTATTCAAGGCCCTTTATAATTTATCTAACCGAACAGTAAAATTTAGTCCAAGTAGCATTCGTATATTTAAGCCCAATTTTAAAAGCCTAAATCCTACATTAAACCCTAATTTTGTCTAACCTATAAATACAACACAACCCTCAAACCCTAGCACACCATTCTCATTTCATTTTCATCTTTATCCACCTTCAAGAGCAAAACACCATCTTCCACCACCAAAATCCAGCTAATTTTCCGGTCAACATTCGTTTTCTGACTAGCCACGCCGGCGGCTGAACGCTCCGAATATTTTTAGTATTTATGGAGCTCGACTATATTTTCATAAGTAACAAGTTTCTTTTCAATGCACTTATTTGTTATTATTTTCATTAAAATGAGTATTTAATTTTAAGTCTAAGCCATGGAGAATTTATTCGATTTTTATTTTAAAAATCAATTAAAATCAAATTTATCTTGCCCAGGTATTGGTTTTATTTTGATACAACCGAGCTTTGACCGATATGATTCTCGAAAGGCGTAGGGTAGCTAGCTTCGTAACTAAACGGACTACTTTAGAGTGGGGACTCACATCTCCTGAAAAATCAAGGATTTTATTTTAGTCGGGTCGAAGCCCGGACGAGCCGAGCCTCGACCCAGTCGTTATATTCGAGCCATTTTATTTCGGTCAAGTAGGCCCATTTAATTGAGCTCATTATTTTTACCTATTGGGTCCGAGAAATTAATTTACTCAAGGCCCGTTATAATTTATCTAACCGAACATTAAATTTTAGCCCAATCAGCATTCATATACTTAAGCTCAAGTATAGTTTTTATTTTAGCCCAATTTTAAAAGCTCAAATCCTACATCAAACCCTAATTTTGTCTCACCTATAAATACAACATCTCCTCAAACCTTAACACTACACCATCCTCATTTCATTTTCATCTTCATCCACCTTCAAGAGCAAAACACCATCTTCCACCACCAAAAATCTGACCATTTTTCCCGCCAACGTCCGTTTCCCGACTAGGCACACCGGTGGTTGAACGCTCTGAATATTTTTAGTAATCATGGAGCTCGACTTTATTTCCATAAATAGTAAGTTTTGGGTATAAGAGATGTCTTATGATATACTTTCATTTCAGACCAACAAAAGGTGAAGTGTTTATTCATTTCTTATCATTTTGTATTTCAAATATTACCATGTTTAATAGGAACACTTCTTCTTTGTAGGGTATGTTGAATGCTTTAAGGGACTTAGCCCCATTTGCTAAGCACAGAAATTGTGCTAGACAAGTCTACATGAACTGGAAGAAGGAATCCAAGGGGCAATCTCTGAAGAACTTGTTCTGGATGATTATTGTTAGCACTCACATAGGTGACTACAACATTGCTTTAGAGGACTTGAAGGCAGAATGCAAAGAAGCTTATAAAGACTTCATTGACAGAGATCCCTCAATGTTTTGTAAGGCTTTTGTTTCTCCTGTACCTAGGTGTGATATGATAGAAAATAATGTTAGTGAGACTTTTAATGGGTTTGTAGTTAAGGGAAGAGGAAAACCTATTATAGAAATGCTTGAATTTGTAAGGACTGAAATAATGAGCATACAACTTGGTAAATTGATAGAAATTAGTGGACATCCTGACATGATTTGTCCTACAATAAGATCAAAGGTAGAGCATGATAAATATTTGTCCAGACTCTATGTCACAAAGCCTGCAGTTGGTGATAGGTTTCAGGTTGCATTTGAAGATAATCAGTTTGTGGTGGATTTAAAGGATAATACTTGTACTTGTAGACGGTGGGATATAATTGGAATTCCTTGTTTGCATGCTTGCTCAGCAATACACTTTCAGCATAAAAATCCTACTGACTATGTTTCTGAGTATTCTACTACTTAGAGGTATTTGAGGATGTATAGCAACTCATTGGAGCCCATAAATGGAAAAAAAAAAAAAAAAAAAAAAAAAAAAAAAAAAAAAAAAAAAAAAAGTGGCTTGCTGCACAAGTTTATCCCATTGCCCCCTCCTTTCAAGAAGATGCCTGCAAGCCCACCAGTTGAGAGCATGACTATACCAAGACAATCAGTTGATAGGATGACTACACCAAGACCATCAGTTGATTGGATGATTACACCAACACCATCATCTGAGAGGATGACAACCAGGTCTCTACAGAAGACAAACAAATTGCTAGTTATAAAGGTGCAATCAACGGTCAGTAGTAATACAAAAGAACGAGCCTTGGTAATACTTTTATAGGATTATTATATTTGATACCAATAATTTTGGATGATAACAATTATTTTGTTTGTCTTTGGCAGGCTAGAAAAGGATTTGGGATTTTGCAGTCTGAGGAAACTGGTAATGTTTACATGAAGGTATGATTTATTTTTTTTTATCAAGAATTCATTTATTGTGAAAAATTAAATTATCAGAAGCCATATGGGTAATTTTTTGATATTATAATGCAGTTGTAGTGAAAACAACATTCATATAGTATCTAGAGAAAGAGGCCAAAGCAGTGGCTCAAGCATAGGACAAAACAGTGGGTCAACCTCTGCTAGAGGTAGAGGGAAAATGAGTGGTTCAACAGGAAGAGGAAGAGGTCAAAGGTCAATTGGGAGAGGTACCAAAACTTCATCACAACAAGCAGGGGACTTCATATGCATTCAAGAGTGTGAGACTTGAGATGGATGTACCTCTCCATGTTAAGAATAAACTGATGATGATGTGTTAGTATTTGATGTGGTAGTTTTGAACAGACTTGGTAATGTTATGGTGCTTTTGGGATACTTTTGAACAAATTTACAAGTGTTATGGTGTTTTAAACATGTTTCATGTTTTTTGGGGTTTCTTGATTTTCTGTGTGGATGACTTGGTATTGTTTAATTAATCTTGGGATACGTTATGGTGTTTTTGGGATTTAAAACTAGTGTGGATGTTTTGGAAACTTTTTTATGGATATGGAAATGAATTAAAGTGTCTGGGATTTGGAATTTGATTTCATGTGATTTGTGTTTTGATAATGAAATCATGTGACCTTATGATTTATGTTTTGCAACTGAAGTTATATTGTTCTGTGATTTAGGATGTTTGCAGATGATAATTTTTTAATGTGGAGTGTGCTATGTGAAATGTGATGCAACAAGGAAGACTAATTACTTTAACTAATATAAGAGTATTCAACTTAACATAACAAGATGCTCAATAACATGAATAAGATACATAGTTTATCAATTCATTACTTTAAAATAACATTTCATAGGATGATTCTAATTCCAGTACGTACATCAACCTAACATAGCTCATAATTCACCAAATAAACTAAGAAAAATACATACTTCAGTTCAACATCTTAAGATAATGGACATGACCATTTCTACCAAACACACTCAGAACAAGAACTAAAACAACAACAATCAAAGGAACGATAAAAATACTCATTTTTCTTTCAAGATTTTTCACTTGGGTTATGGTCTTCTCAAGAACCAAAATCATTTCAACATACTTGTCACCTTCATCCTCCACAACTGCCACTTTTTCTTCAAGATCCTCTTTCAAACTCGATCTGTGATTGTGAAATTTTTTCATGTCCCACAACTTTTCTTCCAAATCATGTTTTTGAGCCTTCAATCTTATGAATGATGTCCTTTGAAACTTAGGCAATGATTAATCATTCTATTCAAAGAAGCCACAATCATCATCCTGCATATCAATAAAAGCAAATTTCATGCAAATTCACATTACAATCAAAACATTCACATACATTTCACATGAACAACACACTCATTTGATTCTTTTTTTTTTTTCTCATTCTTGTTTTTACATTCTCAGCCAAAATTCACGAAAAAAATCATGAAAATTTCATTGTAATTACATTACCTCTCTATCTCGACATCTGTACAACCTCCTACATGGATTATCATTAGTTATGGAGGTGAGAACGACAACATATCTACCGTGGTGGCACAGCTTCCGCGTCGACACATTGGAGGCACCACTATGTTCAGAATTTTGGCTTCTACGAGACGAGCAAGACATTTTCAGACCAGATATGGTGAGAATTTGGGGATGATTAGCGGCGAGTTTTGGGTTTAGAGTTAGGGATATTAGCTGCGAAATTTGGGGAAGAAATAATTAATGTTCTTATGTTTGAGATGGAATCCCCAACTTCATGCCCAATTTTTCATGTTCTCCAAAAATTTATTTTGTGCTTCAATGACATGTATTTCGAGTTTTTTAACATGCCAGTTTAGTCGTGCCATTTCAGCGAAACTAGTAAAATACATCTAAATATTATTATAAAGGAAAGTAATACATTCACTAAATGTATTATAAAGGAAAGTAATACATTCACTAAAAATACAAAGGTCCTTAAGGGCAAAATAGTAAAATACATCTAATAATTATTATGACTAATATTATAATGTTATTACAGGTCGTGTTGCTGGCGACAATTAATTCTTTATTATATCATGAACTTTGCTATAATTAAAATAATAATACAAAAAAAATTGAATAACTCATATAAACATAAAAAATATATAATTTGAAATCACAAAAACACATTCATTACGCGTGCACTTTAAGGAGAGGTATATCAAGAAGGAAAGTAATCACTAAATGCTCGTTTGTTCATTATATTGGTAGAAGAATACATACATAATATACCAATAATTTATCGTCACCCCGCAAAATATCCCAACTATACAACTGGAGAAATCCAACATACCCACAAAGTCTTACATATTTTTCTTGATTATACACAGAAACTCAAATACAGTCTGAAGTCTTGCTACAACAAACAAAATAGAGGAGAGAACAAATCACTCACCCTCAGTACATTTGACGACTGGTTGACCGACCAAAAAAACGAAAAGAAAAACCAACCACCTAGTGAACAGCTGAACCTCTGTGTTCTCTTTTACGACCTCCTTTCCCTGAAATTCTCGGAGGCAGCTCGCCTTCGGTTGAACCTGAAATCCCAAATGAGAGAGGCATTCATGAAGCTTCTAGAAGGTGCCCTGTTTGGCTGCTCCTTGTCATGTTTTTTCCTCCTTGAGGTCATTGTACTTCTTAGGGATCTTGAGGATTTGCGGTCGAAAATGGATGAAGCAAATGAAGTATCAGCAACTCCGAATGACGTGTGGCCCACAGCTGCATCCTCATGTGGTGGGGGGAACTTGTCACTTTTGCTTCTTCCTTTTGCATCTGACATAATTCTCATTCTCTGCAAAAATATAAAATTAAAAATAATGGAGAAAAAATAATTAAGCAAAATGGAAATGATGAAAGAAGTTTGCACATACGTCTAAGTTGGTTTGGAGCTCTGCATTAGCCTCTGGAGCAGGAACTGCCCGGCTGATCTTGTCACGTGCTCTCGTTCGTCTGTTGGCATCCGTTGCATGAGGTTTTGCATTTAAACCTCGTTTTCTGCAAACAAAAACAAAAAAAACAAAAAAAAAAACAAACAGAAATCAGCAGAAACACACGATTAAGATTTTCGCAATAGTGGCCAAAGCAAAAGAGATGGAAGTTAAAGAGAAGACTAAAAATTTAAAAATGAAAGAACATCACCTTCTAGCTTCTTCGTCTCTCAATTTGATGTCCATTTCTTTACTGGGAGGACATTTAGGTAAGCTTTCAGGTTCACAGGCATATGGTTCGGTCGTGAAAAACTGATTTGAAAAGAAAAACAATTACATCTCCCATACGATTATTAAAATGTAAAATTGCATCTCCCATATAATTATCAGAATTGTACAGAGTCGAACTAAAGTTGTAATATTACAAGATTTCAAATGAATTTAACATAATGTATTAACTGTTGTTGTATCTTCAACTCTTGTTTCTTTGAGTGCTATGCTAGTAAAAGACCCAGTTATTTATTGGTGAAGTTTCTTTGAAGATACATGGAATTGTTTGCAAGGGTTAATTGCAGTTTGCCCTCCAAACTATAGCCTTTCATAAACTCTACCCACTGGACTTTGGAAAAGCATAGTTTCCCCTGACTATTGCACTTCACTCACTCTCTCGTCATCTCCCAACAAAAAGCGGACATGTATCATTTCATGATAAGTCCAAGCCAGCCCTCAAATGGTTAAGTGGAAAATTTTCTCCGTTATGAATGCAAAAGAGAGATTTTTAGCATGAAAATCGCAAAAGAGGGAGAATATAAACTTACTTCACTATTCAATGCTGTTGTTGTTGTACCTCGTGCATCGGGATCAATGGCAAGAAGAGATTCTAAAAGAGAAAGCGCAGTTGGCGGAAAATCCTTAAAAGTCTCTGCCAGACATCGCTTATAAGGTTGTTGAGGTTTATAAAGAGTTGCGTTTGGTAGTCGAGATTTTTTCCAATATTCATCAGATGGTGAGCCGCATAGTTTAAATATCTTGTGCAGTTGCTCAACCTACGAGGAAGTCAATACATTTGTGAAGAAAATGACTATCGAATTTAAGTATCTGGCTGACCAACTCAGAAGAAAAAAGTATTGTCAAAGAGTAAATTCTATCAACAGCTCAATTGTCACAGCCCAACAAACAAATCAGTGAACTAAAATATAGTTCTTCCAACATATTCGATCTACTCACAATAAAGATAAGCACCCAGCAAATTTACCTCTGTTCTTCCACGCAGTATTGGCTTCCCAGCAAGCAACTCTGCAAGAATACACCCAGCACTCCATAAATCAACACCCACCCCATAATAAGTGGCCCCAAGCAAAAGCTCGGGTGGGCGGTACCACAGTGTTATAACACGGCTCGTCATTGGCCTCTTCTGCTCTGGCTCGTAAAACGAGGCCAGCCCAAAATCGGCTATTCTCAAAACACCATCATTGCCGATTAGCAAATTAGAGCACTTAATATCTCGGTGTAGCACTCCGTTATTGTGACAGTGCTCTAGACCGGAAAGCAACTGTTTCATATAGCATTTGACCTGCACACCACGAAAACATAGTATTTTGGATTATAATCATGCTGTAAGTGAAAACTGTATAACTAAAGAAACATAAAATCGGACCACCCCTTTTTGGCTGGGCATAGCTTTCACAAATCAAGCCAATTCATTTTAGGAAGTCATGCAATTCATTTTAGGAAACCTCTGCCCTATATGACACTCGTTTCTTCTTTTGCATCATTGGTGCTACTTATTTATTTGACACTTTAATGCTCTTCTTTTACCTTCCCGATTTTGAGAAATATGAAAGACATTGAAGTTCTCAATGACTCTTTCAGACTATGAAAACAAGTTTCATTCTTGCATCACGAGAGAGGCATTCATGTTAAATTAAGCAAACTGAAAAGTTGCGTCTTGCAAAAACGCACTCTCTTCTGGTCGTTCAGCTAATAAACGAGATCTTTTATACTTATAGATTCTGTGGAATACATAGATTACACCAAAAATATAAAATTTAAAAGAAGCTTCCTAGCATTTATATTAAAATGGTAACAACAAATATGTAGTTTTGTTTTATATAACCAAAATTTGATGTTTCGCAGTTAGCAAGAAACAAGATGACAATGCAGACTCCAACCTTTGGGACCAATGACAATGAAAGGTCTATCAATAGCATCCAAAAAAACGACATGATTCAAAAACAGCATGACAATGCCACCATATAAATCCAATCTTTCATATTCTTCTACGAAAGGTGTCAAAATGTTTGAAAAACAAGTATAGATGCCATTTACGCCAACTGTCACTAAAAGTTTCAAAAATCCCCACCATGCAATACAATACAAATGATAAATTTTATCAAAATTCAAACCACACAGCGCATAATCTGGAAAAAGTTCACATATCCTCTGAATTACTACAAAAAGATGTATGCTAAAGTCAGCCAAACCAACAAAACCGTTTCCCACTTATTAAAACTAAACACAATCGAACTCATTAAAAGTTACGGTAAATCAACAGATTATTCTTCTGTGCTCACTCGAGAAATGTACTAACCTGCGGCTCCGTGAACTTGACACTTTGTACAGCAGCAAGGCCAGCAAGATCATGGTCCATATACTCGAAAACAAGATAAAGACTACTTGACATCCTTGAAATAACTAAGCCTTCGAGCTTAATTACATTTGGATGATTAAGCCTTCTTAATACGAGTATTTCTCTAGCCATGAACTTCACAGTTTCAGGCTCCAAGTTATCGAACCTCACTTTTTTTAGTGCCACCACTTTTCCAGTGATCAAGTCTCTGGCTTTATACACATTGCTGTATGTACCTTGCCCAATCTGTGCAATTATACCAAAATTCACCCTTCAATTTACAAGAACAACATTAATGAATGACAATTAAAAAAAGAGAGAATCATTGTCCTTAAAGCATTGGAACTGAAGGGCACCAAAAGCTGCTGTACCTTTGGCTAGGAAATTAGTACATTGCACTGGTAGAATTAAACCCACTCATCCCCATTGTCAACTCTAAAGAGTAAAGCACACTAAACGCATGCATCTCATCATTGTACCCTCCAAATCGGTAACTTTGCCTTTTTTTTATTTCTTTAATTAATGAAAAAGAAAAATGTAGGCACGCACGCAGCTTTGAAAAAACAACGGCCGGTTTACCTTATCGAGCTTCTCGAATGTGTTGGCCCGGCGGGGTTTCCAGTCCTTAATGGCTTGCCCAGCGACGTCGTTTAGCCACGATGGCCATCTATCACCGCCACCGGAGACGCCCCTTCTCAGCCGGAAATCCGGCAACACCGCCGCCGAAGAAGGCTCCGGAACCTCTTCCATCTTCTTCTTCCCCTTCCCTCTTTCCGGCACTTCGTTTTCCACCGGACCGGCGGCGGATTCCGAATCCCGACGGTCATCGTTCTTCTGCTTCCGCCGAGTCTTTATTCTGCCGGTGGCCTTTCCGAGAACGCACCCCATCACCAAGAAATTGTTTTCTTGGTTTAACTATTGCAATTGTTAGCTGCCCATTTCAACAGAATTTTCCAAGAAAAAAAATAAAAAAAAAATCCAGAAGCATTAAAATAAAAATAAAAATAAAAATGGAATCTTGCAGCTTTCAAAGAGATAGGTAGAAAGAAGTACTCCGCATTTATTGCTGCTGTCACGAGTGTGTGTGTGTGTGTGTGTGTTTGTGTGTGTGTCTGCGTGTATGTCTTATTGATGCAAACGAGACAGCAAAAAAAAAACTTCCTCTATACAAATTAATTTAGAAAGAATTAAGAAAATAAGAAAAAAAAAAGGCACAAGGATGAAGGATGAGTGGTCGAATCATCCAGCAAGAAAACCAGGTAGAAGAGATAGACTAACCCAAAAGAAAAAAGAAATCAGCAGCAATAATAATAATAATAAAGAAATAGAAGTTGAACCAATTGTGTCATAGTACAGTCTAGGGTGAGGCTGAGGCTGAGGCTGAGCATTTATTGCTGTATGTCAGTCTTGAGTTTGTATTTGAAAATTGAGCAATAAAAAACTAACTTATTCAGGTATGTATATATATACAGTTTCTGTATATATATTTGTGTCTGTGTGTGTGTGTGTTTCAGTATGTGTGATAGATTGTGGGTTGGAAATTAATTTAATCAACATAATGATATTGGCAGAAAGGAAGTTGGAGAAGACTTTTCTACTGCAGGATACTGGCAGAACGAAGCTCGGTCTAAAAGAAAAGAATTTCCACTTTTTCCCTTGCTTTGGAAAATCTAAAATTGAGAATTTCTCCAAAGAACTAGTTTAACCCTTTTTTTTATTTTTTTGGTAAAATAGAAGAGGTTATACGCCTAATGGGTTCAGCTGCGAACGGTGCGTGAATAGGCTACGTCAATCAGATTATGTTGTAGCCATTAACGAACACCCTCCGACGGATCATGAAAGAACTGGTACCCCACAGGGCCTTCCGCTGCGAAGGAAGCCAAGAAAATGGCCGCATAATTCGCTTCGCGGAATACATGTTTCACTTTTACCTCCCACGGACAACTTAAGAGGTCCTTGATGCCCGATACGAGGCCCATATGCACACCCGGGGCCTCTTCAACAGACGTAGCAAAAGCCACGGCACTCACGTTATCAACTTCGGCTTCGACGTACCTATACCCCATCTCCCAAGCCAAAGAGAGTCCCCAAAATAAACCCAATAATTCTGCTGCCATAATCGACCAGAATCCTATGTTCAACGTGAAACCCCTAAGCCAATGTCCTTGGTCGTCCCGGATCAGCCCTCCCGCGCGGCCCATCCCCGACGGGGAGAAGGAGCCGTCCGAATTCACTTTGACCCATCTAGCCATAGGTGTCCGTCAGTGTACCCATTGAGATGATCTCACGCGCCCGGTCTCTCCAAGCTTGTCGGCGCCTTCGCTCACTTTCGCCATCCCCGCGATGTAAGTGGTGATTTCATGCAGCCCCTCGGCCATATCGCGAGCCTTCTCTTCAAAGAGGTGCTCGTTCCGCCAGCGCCATAGCTTCCAGACAGCCACCCCAAAGGTGCAAATCCATGTTTCGCCTCCAACACGCGGCGGGACTAGCTGGTTCATTAACAGCCACGACTCCAAACTAGAAGAGAAGAATTCATTTTGTGTTGTACCATGTAAAAGACGTTTCTAGATCGTAGTAGCCAAAGGACAGTCGCGACACACATGCAAAATAGTTTACTCGGCATGACCGCATAGCTCACATAAGGCATCGGAAGTCAGGTGTCGTCGCCGTCTCTCGACGTTAGTAAGTGAGCGGTTTTTTGCCAGTAGCCAAAGAAAAGTATGAATTCGCTGCGGGTCCGACCACCGCCAAACAGCCCGCCAAAGAGGACGCGGACGTGGGAGTGATGGACTATGCTCGTCTACCAAATCGTACGCTGACCTCGTAGTAAAAGTGCCAGTGGAGGAGTGGCCCCAGTATAGCTGATCACAGCCGAGCCCGACACGCGGCGGCGGGATCGCTGCAATCTGCAGCAGCGCGGAAGACGGCAATAAGTGAGAGAATAAGTTCCAGCGCCATGAGCCGTCTTCCGAAGCGAAAAAACGGACTTCCTTGTCGATTAAACTTGTCGGGATCACGCCCGTAGCGACCGATTGCAAATTGTAGTCGGAGGGCAGCCATTTATCTGACCCAAATTTTATCTTTTCGCTATTCCGTATCGCCCAACGGGACCCACAAACTACGTGCTTCCAGATCTTCTGTACAGATTGAAAAATCGCCGAGCAAGGTCTCCTATGGCCAGCCACCATGTCAAAGGGTCTCTTATGGCCAGCCACCCATAATGAATCCCAGTTCGTTAGGAAATGCCAGTCAAGTTTCATTAACAGTGCCTCGTTGTCCGTTGTCGTTTGAAGCCCAAGCCGCCAAATTCTTTCGTCGTACGAACATCCTCCCATTTGACTAAGCTGAGCTTCCGGCTATCAGACGAGCCCCCCAAATGAAATGTCTAAGTCTTTTCTCCAGCCCCTCACAAATGGAAATAGGTAGGCGGACCAATTGCATGGTATACGGATGGGCACTAACGACCGATTAAGCTAAAACCACTCGCCCGACCATGGACAAAGAGGTCGCTTTCCACCCGGTCAGCCGAGTATCAGCCCTCTCAATTATCCTCTCATAGGTTTGTCGTTTTATCCTTCCATGTAAGAGAGGGACGCCCAGATAGTAGCCTAGGTCTTCCACCACATTGAAACCGACTAGATTCGAGAGCTCCTGCTGCTGGTTTAGACTAACATTCTTCGAGAAGAAAATATTTGTTTTGGCTTCACTCACCCACAGGCCTGACACTTGAGAGAAACTGTTGAGGACCCGCTGCAAAGTGATGACCTAATCGGTTGAAGCTTTGAGAAAGAGAAGCAAATCTTCCGCAAATAATAGGTACGTGACTTGAACTCGGCCCCGCCCAACACTTATCGGTTTCCACGTACCGCTACTAACTTCACTTGGATGGCATGTGCGAGGCATTCGATGCAGAGGACAAAAAGATATGGGGTGATGGGGTCGCCTTGTCGCACCCCCTGGATGGATGGAATTCCTCGCTCGGGGCACCATTCCAGAGAATCTGCATGGATGCCGTGGAGAGACATTTCATAATGACACTCACAAAGCATGTGGGAAAGCCTGCCAGACGAAGGGTATCCTCAACAAAATCCCATCGCAAAAAATCATAAGCCTTCTCCAAGTCAACTTTAACGACCATAAAGCATGTGGTACCCGTTTTAGTCTTCATAGAATGGAGGATTTCCTGAGCCACAATGATATTGTAATAGATTTTCCAACCTGGGATAAAGCTGGATTGGGCCTGACCGATTAACCCGGGGAGAAGCGGCTTCATCCTATTGGTAATGACCTTCGTGAGCAGCTTATAAACAACATTAAGTAGACTAATGGGGCGGAATTGCTTGATCGTTTCGGGCTGGTCGCATTTGGGGATGCGGACGATGAGTGTTTTGTTAAGTTTAGCCGGCAGGTGGCCCCCTTGAAAGACCGACCGAATCAAGCGGCACACTGACTGTCCAACTCATTCCCATTGGCTTTTGAAAAACAGTGCATTGAGGCCATCAACTCCCGACGCTTTAAGCAAGCCCATTTTTGTGAGGGCTCGAGCAACCTCATCGTCAGATACAACTCTTTCGAGCAGGGTCAGAGCCAGCAGGTTGATGGTCAAGAAGCACGGGCCCACGGACCTGGGCAAAGGACACGGATGGTCCGCCACATAGATTGACCGAAAATAGGTAACGGCCATATGTTGAAGCTCGCCCGGATCAGTGACCAAGTTTTGCTCGCTATCCTTCAAGGCTACGATCTTGTTTCTGCGACGTCTTGCTTTAACCTGTCGGTGGTAGAAAGAAGTGTTGCGGTTGCCAAAAAGAGACCAATCTCGGTTCGACTTTTGGATCATGAGAAGTTCCTCTTGGAGTAGGATCTCTTCCAGCTCATCCGTTAAGGCCTTCTCCAACTAGGAGAGACGAGAGGAGCGGCGATAGTGCAATGAACATTGGATCCCATCAATACGGGCCAGAAGAGTTTTTTTTTAGCACAAATATTACCAAACACTCGATAATTCCAGTCACTAGCCGCAATGGAAAATGACTTGGCTGCGTCCACAAAATTTTCATTGTCCCGCCAACAACCGGCAACGACATCTTGGAAACCGTCATGTAATAACCACGGAGCTAGGAAACAAAAGGGCTTGGGGCCACGAACCGCCTGCTGGCTCAGAGTGCATCGTACGACGAGAGGGGTATGATCCAACTGTAGGCGCGTTGCATGAAGGACAAAAGCCTCCGGGAAGTTATCCAGCCAAAGCTCATTGCAAATAAACCTATCCAATTTCT